TGAATCTGACATAGTCCCCTAATGATAGCCAGAGAAAACACAAGCCTCAGAGAGCAGCTCAGAGCTTTGCTCTCAGCAGCTGGCCCAGGACTGAGCTGGATCACATCCCATGTGCCCTTTCCCTCTCCTGAATTCCAGTTTCCTATTAGTTCAGAGAGCAAACTAATAATCCACAGCGCTGTGGGGAAGCCCAGTGGGGTCAGTTCAGGTAAAGGCTCCCTCCCTATTGAGACCATGGTCCCTTAGTGCTCAGCCACTGTGCATCGCCAATCTTCCAGGCAGCTGTAAGATTCATTTCTCTGGGCACATCTAAAGAAAAGTACCCAGAATTCCTGAGAAACTTCGGCTCTTAGGCATCACTGTTTTGAAGACTGATTTTGCCCCAGCACACTGGGAGGGTTCCTGGAGATGATGCTACACAAGAAAGTTCAGGGTGGTGATAATTTAACCCTTTCCTTCCTCAGGCCCCAGAGGCACCAGAACTCACACTCATGAGAGAACAGGGGCATTGGGTGACACCAGCTCAGTGGAGACATAGTAAAGGGCTCTTTAGCATAAATGGCATGCTGACCAAAGAATGTCAATTCTCTCCAGAGGACTAGGAACAGCCATGCTGGGCACTTCTGTCAACCCCAGCTGTTTAAGCCAGGGTGCCCTCATGACTGTTTTTTTTCCCCTATGAGAAACGGTGCAGATCTGGGGAGTGCTCCTGGGGAAGCATCAGGGACAGCTGTAGCCATCACATAGGGCCTATTATCAGCAGTAGCAAAGCCTTCATATACTTGACATTATATACATAGCTTGGCTCTTGCAGTTGCCAGTTTTAAGTACCCATCTGTGTGGTGCATAGTGCCTGTCTGTCTCCTCTATACCTTGTCTTGGGAGCCAGAGTTGAAGCTACAGAGAGTTGAGAAAGGTCCAACCTTCCCTTTGTTGTGGAGGGGACTGTGGTTCTAACAAGCACCTGTTTGCTTTCATTGAGCTCCCATTTTAAAGACTGGTACAGTGTTTTACTCATAACGTCTGTAAAGCGCTTAGTGGCCAACTAGCCCATAGCACAGAAACTATGGTTACTGCTAGTAGGCTCTTTCTAGACTGGGAAACATTGGTATAATGCACACATGGTAATTTATGAACATAAATTTGACTCGAGAATTAACTACCAGTCAGACATTTGATGGCATATAGGTGGAGTTTGTGAATATTTCTTGCACTGAGTGGAATTTGGTTTCTAACTGGGGAGACCAGGCCTGCAGATTGGTAAGCACAGGATGCAGACCTACTCTAAGCAGCACAAAGCCTTTCCTGAGAATATGAGGCCTCTTTTGGGGCGAGAGCTGCACCTGCCCCAGCTCAGGGTACACATGACTGCTGGAGGCAGAGGCAGAGGGAAAAGGACAGCATGTTTTCTATTTAGATTGTGGGTACAAGAAGTGTTGTTTCAGCTCTCAGGTGCCCCACTTTTTTTCTTGTTCATCCAATGGAGATAATAATACCCGACCTATTTCAGGTTTGTTTTGACTATAAAAGAAAAATCAATGCATATGGAACACTAAGAAAAAAGTAACACCCCATAAATATAAGCTACTCAGATGAACTGTCCTTGGCCCTGACAGCCCACCCTGGACACAGGGGAGCAGCTTGCCAGGGTGCTTGCTCGGGCATGCGTGCAACTGTTCTCTGATGCTATCAGAAGTTGTCTTGCACAGAAAGGAGACATGAAAGTACTTTGTAAATTGGGGTATTTGATTTTTTTTCCCACTTGGCCCCAATGCTGGTAGCCCTCTTGCAAAGTGAAAAAGAAATGAAAAGTTTAAGTGATCTCAGAGGCCTTCAAGCTCTGTAACCACTGGTGTGATCCACATACATCAGACAGAAACGTTCCTGGCTGTGAAGATCCACCTCATTATGCTCAGGGTCAGAATGAGTTAGCTAGCAGGCACATGTGGGGTCTGTAGCTTGCCCTCTGATTAAAACAGAAGGTGGGAGGGAGCCGGTGCAGGGTTAAGGCAAATGGACCAACTGCAGGGTTGTGCTTCTAATCACAGGTCTGTTCCCTTTCTGACACTGGGAGGGTTGCTGGGGGCCTTCCACAGTACCTTCATTTGCATGTGTACCCTCAAAAAACATTGTAATCCAGCCTTCCTCCAGTTTCGGGAGGGGTTTGACAATTGATGCTGAATAATGCTCAAGAGACAGCTTTCCTTACAGACTTTTTAGTACCCAGGAAGTTCTAAACAACATTTAGATTATCCCTTAAGTACACCTGAGAAAGAATGCAAACCCAGGTTCCAGAAAAATCTACCCACTGCTTCTCCAGTCAGGTCATTCACCTTCCCTCGCTAGCACTGTCAGGCAGACTTCCTGTGACCATGGACACCATGTCTGTTTACTTTGTTCAGTAGTAATAATCACCACCTGAGGCCATCACACACTTGAAGACTGGCCCCCCATGTGTTTAGGGGCTTCTGCCTTGGACAGCAGTGCACAGCCAGAGTGAAACACATCCTAGGTGTCTGTATGAAGGTGAGGGAAAGTAAAGAAAGGGATGAATCTCATATCTTCTTTATCTTCAATCCAGCTTTTCATAGGTCAGTGTGAAGCTCCTCCTTGAAATAGATAAGTCAGCTCATAACCAAGAGAAGGCAGACTCATAAAGGCATACTCTCTGACTGTCTCCAACATACACTAGATTTTGCTGTACTGCCTTTTGCGTAAAATTCTGTGACAAGAGATTCTACAACCTATAATACAGAACTCTGGGATTTTGTCCATAGCATTTCCATATTCCAGGGGCTGAGAGTAGTGGCTGGTTCTTCCCAGGAAGTGCCCTTGTTCAACGTCTACATAGTAAAAGGATCTTGTTCCTGAATACCTTTATCACCTTCACTTATTATCATGGTGTGTGTGTGTGTGTGTGTGTGTGTGTGTGTGTGTGTGTATTCCTGAACAGGATATTTCACAGGTGCTATAAGTGAAACAGGTACTTGATCACTGTCATTTTTCTAGGGTGCCATGCAGTGCAGGGTCAGGTGTAATTAGGAACTTAATAAATGCTTCTTGGTAATGACCCAAAGGACTTTAGCCTCAGTGGGGCTTACACAGCTTACACAACATTTTAAGGTTCTAGTTTCCACCCTAACATATTCCAGAAAACAGTGTACCACTGCCTTTGTAGGACTGGCTGGGGTGAGTAGGTTATCATTGGTTATTTTCGGAAAGAACTCCAGAATTGGCCATGTGTTTTTGAGGTTGAAGCCACAATTATTTGAAAGCTAAGAAAACCGTCTTTAACTCATCAGGTGGTTGTATGATTGGCAGAAAAAGGATAAAGATCACAGGATAAAACATCTATGGTCCCAGGGTTCTCAGTAGTGAATAGAGAATGAAGGTCCTTGTTCATGTAATACTTATTCTATGCTCTCTGAAGGTCTAGGAAATACAACCCGAAGCCAAGGAAAAGGACATCTGTAGCCTATCTAATATCACTAGCTACCACCTTGTTCCCATGGGTCTCCACCAGCTTCTAGCTGTCTCCTTGAATGTATAAATTTTCTAAGATGATTATGAAACACAAAGTTATTCAATCTGGGGCTGAAAATGTAGGTTAGTGGTAGTATTCATCTCAAATCAATCTTTCAGGTAAGGATAAATCAAGGATAATCAGGGATAGATAGCATGCACTCAAGCCCCTATGTGCCACGTGAGCACTCTATCACTGAGCCACACACCCAATCCTCTCCCTCTTTCCAAGGGCAAGAAGTCTAGAACAAACAGTATTTTAAAGTAGTGATTCTCAAAGTGGGGTTCTGGGAGCAGCTGCCTCAGCCTCACCTGGGACTTGTTAGAAATGCAAATCATTGGACCCCACCCTAGCCAGACCTACTCAAGCAGAAACCCTGGGGCTGCAACCCAGCCATCTGCATTACTAAAAAAACTCCACATGACTGTGTGTGCAAGGATGTTGAAGAAACACTTTTTTAAACCAAAATTGAGACAGTTGCATGAAATGAATCTCCCCAAAAGTGCCAGGTCTTTCCCAAGTCTATAAATAAGGTCTGAACAAGCCCTACACATTAGCAGTTCCCACTTCTGAGAGCTGAGCACACCCCCCTTCCACTCTCCAGGAGGCTGGGGCTGGGGAGGGCAGATGCTTCAGAGCTGAGCCCTACAAACTCATCTGCTTCCCAGCAGGATATGCAGGAACACAGAAAGGGGGCACAGGGCAAAAGATGCTGAAAATCTTTGAATTAATAGATTTCACTGAAATCCATCAATTTTAATTCTGCACTTCTTGAAGCAAACCCAATATCTAGGACTTTCAAATCATCATTTCGCAGGCAATCATCAAAAGAAAATGCTTAATTAAAAATAAATCTTTTCGGGTCATTGCTTGCTGGCAGCACAGCTCTGCATGTGTTGGTTGACAGAGAGCAGCACCTGGAACATACATTGCTGGCCCCTGTGCCCACCTGCTCATTTCTAGCTGCTTGACCCCGCCCCCTCCCCCCCCCACCTTGCAACACATGAACTCCTGGCTTTTAGTCACAAACAGCACATTTCCATATTGTAAGGGAGAATTATTGAGATCTTATTTATTCAAATGACCTGAATGTTTTCAAATTCTATTTGATGGTTTGAGACAGACTTATTTTTTCTACCCCAGGAAGGAGGACAGAAAATTATCACAGCACTAGAGGCCCGATATCATTTTATGATACCCCCCCACCACCACCACCACAAGACAAACCTCCATGCAAAGAAAATGGCAAGTCCCCTCGGTAACTTTTCTCACTTCAGATTGCAGTGCTCATCACGACCTATTCCACCCACATAGTCATGTGCCATAGCAGTGCAGACTGTCTCCAACATTTCAAAAGCTCAACAGCTATTTTTAAAGCCCAAATACAATCTAGGTTGCTCTTGTATAAGACACTTTTTAAGGAAAAGAAAGAAATAACGCAGCAATTTCTATGTATGTGGGCAGTCAACCAACTCACCAAAAGATTGAATGCAGCTGTCAATAAGATCATCCAGGCTGGCTCCTTTGGCCAAATGTCCCAGGGACACCATCATTCGGAACTGGGTGATCTGGGCCAAGCTGGGCTGGGCAGGGAGAGGGTTGTTGACTGATTTGGCCTCTAGTCTTGCTTTAGGGCCAGTTCTGGAGCCATGGGGAGGTTTCCTGGGTGGGGGGGGGAGAGATATTCCAGTTAGGATAGACAGAGCAGCTGGGATCTCACTGGCAGCTCTAGGCTCTGAAGGCAGAGGGAAGAGGAGACAGGGCAATGAGTCCCTGAAGCTGGGCTGGTAGAAGGCATACCCCTCCCACTTGGCAGAAGCACTGAACGGACTGGTTGGCTGTTAAAGAGACATCTCCCCAGCAAATGACAAGGTGAGATTCCAGGGCAGCAACAGCTTTCTCCCCACTGATAGAAGGACTACTCTATGCTGCCGTCTCTCTACCAGAAGGAGAGAGGCAGAGGGAAACGGTACCTTGGCAGCCCTTGGCTTCTAGCTGCTAGGCTACTGATGTGGGGTCTCAAGGACTGGTTCAGTTGGCTTCATTTTCAGCTAGTTTCATTCATTTGAGCGAGCAATGCCTAAGATGCTGAAGGGCAGGGGGCCTCGGAAACACCTTTAAGAGCCTTGCAGGAGAACCCAAAGACTCAAGGGTGGGGAGAAAGTGGGGTTTATAGTGGTGGCATTTAAAGTTTTCAGCCATCTCTGCCTTTCTTACAAACCTTGGTTGGTTTTAATAAATAGTTTCATTTTTGATAACGCAAGAAATCACTATGAATCATTCATACCCGTGAACATTCTATCAAGTCCTTACTTGGGTCCTTAATGAAGAGAAAAGAGGGAGGGGTTGACTCTGAGCTGAACTGCCTGCTCTAGAGCTGAATGTAAAATGGCTATTTGTACCTGGAAATGGCTTAGGAATCTGGTGGATCTTCATCTACCATGCTTAGCTTTATTGGGCATGACCTGGTTGATACAAGTCATTCTGCAAAGTGTCTACACTATGTTTTATTTCCCTCTACTAAAAAACACACAGAGACCCACATCTATAATCTTTGAAGGTTCAATAATGAAAGGTGTTGTTGCTGGCCACTTTTTGGCATGTACTTAGTTTCTTCCTTTCCTGTTGCACCTTTGGCTAACTTATAGTTTACTGTCAAAGAAACTGTTTACTGTGAAAAACACTCTAGAACCATAACACATACTATTAGCATAAACCATCATCGATTAACCAAGTACTTATTACATGAGTAGGACATTCCAGTAGGCTAGAGGAGACCACAGTAAAATAGCCTTTGTAATTACTCTGTAATTGCACCACATGTCCCTTGCATGTTAGTTATTCTTGTATAAAGGCATTGGGAGTTCCTTCATACAAACAGCTCTAGTACAACCTGAACAAGACAGTGAGTATAACCACATAACTTCTAGGTCAATGTCCAAAGAGTGCCGAGGGCAAGAAGCACAATGTTCTCTGAGGAGGGAAAAGCACTTTCCAGGGACTGTGTGGAAGAGTTGCTCTGACACTGTAAAAACCTCATCCCTAAGGAGCCAACCATATACTTGGTTAAAAGAATAAAAGCAAACAACAAACCAACAAAGTACCCTGGACACACCTGAGTTTGGAGAAATCAGCTTGCACAAAGACAGTAAGTACTCTGAACATGGGCCACACCACACAGCCAGCCTCCAGGGGGACACCGTGGCCCTTCCAGTTCTGTCCTAACTTCAGAACATCCATCAGTCAGCGGTGTGCATGGGGCTCTGTTCCAAAGCGGGACCAATGAAGCCTAGTCACTCTGGTTACTGGGAACCTGCTAGTTCAAGCTACTGACTCCCAAAGAAGAATCAGGTTTGGGCTGAAGAGCTCCGTCAAACTCTTGGCCATGGCTGATCTTTATTCAGGCCCGGAGAGAGTCAGATGAAGTCTGAGAACAAAATGGTGATCTGAAAACAGTAACAGCCTCACAAGTGAGTTTCCATGCTCCAATGACACTGTGCTGGAATCTGCACTGTGTCTGAAGCTACAGACCAGAAAGATGTTACCATTCGGTGTGGAACCTGCGTCCTAAACATCCTGAGGCTGTTCATATGGAGCTATCTTGGGGGACTAGTACCTGGGGTCTCTCTAGCTCTATTCATTTAACAGGCATTTTTGGAGCAGCACAACAGTCAGATCCTTCAGAGAGATGGCTGATAATGTAGAGGCAGTCTCTCAGTTCTTGCTTGTTCAGCAGGTCCCTGGAATGGTCCTCAGGACCTGAGTGCGGGTCAGCCTCTACAAAGCCCTTTTCCTAACATCCACAGACACGAGACACAAGTGCAGAGCAGGCCAGCATCCAGCTTCCTTAATTCATGCCACACTTCCTAGCTTTGCTCCCTTCCCTTCCTAGAAACAATCACAACCTGGTCCAGTGCTGAGGGATTGGGAGGGTGTGAAATAACGGAAGGGGAAGTGTTAAAAGGCAACAGCGCCCTCACCCTCTGCCCAGACTCCTGACTGCTTGCCCTGGAAAACTCTCAGATCATGTTCCCCTCTCGTCTTTCTTTTTAAGAATATTTTTTTTTTTTAAAAAAAGAACTGTTTTTGAGACAGGGTCTTACTATGCACTCTAGAGTGGTCCAGACCCCTCTACCTTATATCAGCCTTCTGGGCCTGGGATTGCAAATATGCCTCATCACATCTGGTTAAAAAACAATCCTACCACCCCACTAGGAAGCATCTAAAGGAACTAAAAGAAATAAACTGTTTTCGTTCATGATGCTAGGGACCAAATCCAGGGTTGGCACATGCCAGGCAAGCCTCTTCACTGAACTACAGCCCCCAGCACCTGCTCCCTTTCGCCTTCTCTTTCTCCCCCCACCTCCTAGTGGAAGGGTTATAGATAAGGATTTACACCAGCAGTTCTCAACCCTCAAAATGCTTTGATCCTTTAATACAGCTTCTCATGTTGTGGTGATCTCCACCCATAGAATTATTTTGCTGGTACTTCATATCTGTAATTTTGTTACTGTCACGAATCGTAATGTGAATATACACGACACGCAGGGAAATCTGGCAAGCAGCTCCAGGGGATTTGAGACCCTCAGGTTGAGAACCATTGACTTAATAAGGTGCTATATTATAGGAAGTTTCGAGAACATTTTCACCACCCACAGAACGAACAGCTGCTAGTTCTACAAAGGCGTATTTTAAAGGGCAGTAGACACATAGTTCCAGTTTAATTTGTGAATTAAATAAAATAAACCAACAGCAAAATCTTGAAATTAACACATTAACTTGAAGACGTTTCCTCAGTCCCACAGTGGTTAGAGACCCCCCCACCCCACCCCAGGGGGGCCTGCTGAAGGAAGTTTGAATTGGTTTGGGGGACTTGGTCTCCAGACACAGATACCCTCAGGACAAGGGATAGCGGAGACATCCCGTGGTCTGCTTAGAAGGAAAGGCGGCTTTCACTGGCCACTTCTGCTGAGTGCACCTTCCAGTCCTGCCCCACGCTGCCCACAATACAGAGATAATTTAATGGACAGATCCACTGCAGTGTAGCGGAAAGTAAGGTGGAAGGCATTCGGGATGACACACCCGGGATGGCCTGGCCGGGCAGGGAATTAGAGTGGGCATAGTCACATACATAGATCGGGCATGGTGCACTCACATCTGAGTCCACATAAATGGCATTGTGAAGGGCACAACCTGCTCAGCCCCAACCAAGGCGAAGCGGTGTCCAGGCAGCTGCAGGTTTCTTGGGCTTTGAGGGCAAACGCTAAATTCCTTGACCCCCTAAAGCCCCTTATTGCTTCCAAGAGTCGGACTGTTCATAGGCGCTCTTCCTTCACTTTCTACCATCCCAGGATTCTCCCAAATATCTCTCTAGAATATGGGGGGGGGGGAAGTGCAGACTCAGACTCACAGACACAGACCACTGATTTGGAAACTTTTTTTTTTTCCTTACGGGGTAGCCAAGAACTGCCACCTCCGCTTGCAGCCATTGCTGTGGGTCGCTCCAGAAAGGCCTGGAGAGACCACCAGGTGGCGCGCTC